TATTTTCAGTAGAGACGGGGTTTCACCATGTTGACCAGGATGGTCTCGATCTCTTGACCTCGTGATCCACCTGCCTCGGCCTCCCAAAGTGCTGGGATTACAGGCTTGAGCCACCACGCCCAGCCGGAACGGGGTTTTTTCCTAGCTGCCTGTCTCTTTACCATCAGTACAGTTGCTGCCTGTCCTCTCAGACACTATGGTGGGGTTTAGAACTAGCTGCAGCCAGGAATCTATGTACAAAAATTGATCAGAGTGTCCTGGCTCGCATATAACCTTATGCCATACTTTGGAGACAAGAGACCTGTCTAGGCTCCCTCTAAGGGCTAATCCACCCCAAATACTGGCCAATCTACCTCAGATAGGGTCCTCAGCTTTCCTGGTGTCATAGTTACTCCATAATCCCCACTAAATCCCTTATTGAAATTTTTCCGCATAGTCCCCGAAGGAGTAGGCTTACTATGAGTGTGGCCCACGTTTTTGCATAGAAAAACAGTATTCACAGGAAGTAAAGAGAGTTTTACTTCACCCTCAGTTTCTCCTGCCCTGCACGATGAGACACTCTTTCTTTCACTTTCACTTCAGGCCAGTAGAATCGTCTCCCATTCGGGGTGTGTTTCAGAGAGTTCGTTAATCCCCTCACAATACCTAGATTGCGAGGGCACCTCCTTCTAGCCGTATGTGGATCATTCCTAATCTAGCTGGTCCCACAATTTGCCAGGAGCTTAGGGCCCTCTCTAATGGACCTGCCACTCCCACATTTCACGGCTGGTGAGTCCAATTGGAACACTCCGATCACTCACACAATCATACACACCTCCCTGTTTCCCCCACCCTGTATGATGAGACACACTCTCTGTTTCACTTTCGCTTCAGGTCAGTAGGATTGTCTCCCTTTGATGGAGTGTTTCAGACACTGCTTGGCATCGGAGAGTTTGTTAATCCCCTCACAATACCTAGATTTTGAGAGCACCTCCTTCTAGCAGTATTCGGATCACCCCTAATCCAGCCAGCCCCACAATATACCTGGAGCTTGTGGCCCTCTCTCTAACGGATCTGCCGTTCCCACATTTCATGGCTTGTGAGTCCAACTGGACTCCTCCAATTACTCACACAATCCCACTCCTCCCTCCACCCAAATTGAAACCAAAAACAAGACTTCCAAGGTTAGTTACAGAGAGAGAGAGAGGGCCGAGTTCAGGAATGCCAAATCTGGCATACGTGGGTGATCAGGCCACACTTCCATCTAAAGGAGGTGTGCAAGTTTCCCAGGATTGATCCTACTGTGTTTCTGTCATCTGGACACTCCAGGTACCCATTCCTTCTCGGTGTTCAGCCACTGGGTGGATCCACACTGCAGGGGCTTTCCTGCTTTGCTCTGGTGAGGCTTTCCACTGGGGCCAATACCTGCCCGGGGAGCACTCTCAGGAATTGTGTCTCCTAAGTGATCTGGAGTCTCCCACAGGGATGCTCCGCAGGGCAAGGCAAAACCGCCTGAACCAATGTCTCTACTGTCCACCAAACAAAACTCACTTCCCGGTCAGGGAACCAAATAATGAAGCAGGAGGGGTCACAAACAAACCTCTCGAGCACGGAATTGGGAAGGAAATGGTGTTTTATTTGGCTGGGAGCTGCAGCGGCATAGATGCCTACTAACCAAACTCCCCAATAAAGAAAATCCTTGCCCTTTTAAAGTCTTACAACTCTAGAAATTACGTTAAAGGGTATTGATCCATAAAGTAGGCATGGGGTACATGACTTAAGTGGGGGTCTGATCATGTTTCAGAAATATTCCTCTACACCATATCCATGATCTATAGATGGGATTGTTCAGCCAGGCTTGAAAATAGCTGCCCAGAGGAAACCCTTTCCAACATCTTTTTCCGCCCTGTGGGAGAAAGACTAATGAATCTGCTTAGATGGCCAAAGACTGAAGATAATTGGTCTAGTTTCTCCACTGGGCAGCACTAAGGGGTTTAAGAATTGACCTGTGCTCCTTTGGATCTGTCTGCCCAAAGTAGTATGTTCTGTTCTGGCCAGTCGTATAGAATGCTATCCAAGGGTAGACTCAGTCCTCGCAGGGGAAGCCTGTGATTTCGGTCGGTTATATTCAATTTAATTAAAGGGAAGAATATAGTTAGCTCAATTCTGATTTGATAAAACTGGTGTTGTGTTCCATATCTCAGGTCAATGTCAATTTCTTAGTTGATTTTAAATAGTGGAAGGGGGAAAGCTTTGATAAGCCAAATCAACATGCTTCACCAAATCTAGTTCAGCCTCACAGTGTCATGATGATTAAATAAGATAGGCTCTTGAATGTGCTTTAAAGAGGTACCCAGATGTTTATTCTTATTTAAAGTCGTCACCAGATCTAAAATTCGGAATACATTGAGATACAGCGCAGACTGCATCACTTCAATGTTAGTAGGCCTGTTATTGTGGACTACCAGTAGTACCAGTAATGTTACTGATTTCCTGTTATAGCATAGTAAACAAAGGAAGCAGCATCCTATAGCAAAAATAAGTCCTTTTTTTTTGAGATGACATCCCACTCTGTCGCCCAAGCTGAAATGCAGTAGCATGATCTCAGCCCACTGCAATTTCCGCCTCCTGGGTTCAAGCAATTCTCCTGCCTCAGCCTCCTGTGTAGCTGGGATTATAGGCACACATCACCAGGCCTGGCTAATTTTTTTGTATTTTTAGTAAAGCTGGGGTTCCACCATGTTGGCCAGCCAGGTCTCAAACTCCTGACCTTGTAATCTGCCCACCTCAGCCTCTCAAAGTGGTGGGATTACAGGCCTGAGCCACTGAGCCTGGCCAGAAACAAGTCTTGAAGTGAAAATTTGAAAGCCTGGATTCAAGATTCAGCCATATAGATTCTAGAAAAAGTTTCTCTTGGTTTGAATTTTTTTCATCTTCCAAACAAGTGAATCAATTTTGGACTTCTAAAGTTTCTTCTAGCTCTAACATTCTATGGGATGCTGATAGATTGCTCATGAAGCTGGACATGACTGGTATGATGGATGGAAGATGCCCATCATACATATCCCCAGAAATGTTCTGGCTTTCTATTTGGTATCTACAAAGAATTAGACAAGTCACTGAAGAATAAAATGTTCTTGTGGCACTAGTTCTAAGGAGACTGGGTTGTTTAGAGAACAGTTTTACCTTTAAGAAAGGAAAGAGAGGTGGGGCGTGCTGGCTCACGCCTATAACCCCAGCACTTTGGGAGGCTGAGGTAGGTAGATCACCTGAGGTTGGGAGTTCCAGACCAGCCTGACCAACATGGAGAAACCCTATCTCTACTACAAATACAAAATTAGCCGGGTGTGGTGGTGCATACCTGTAATCCCAGCGACTCAGGAGGCTGAGGCAGGAGAATTGCTTGAACTTGGAAGGCAGGAATTGTGGTGAGCTGAGATTGCACCATTGCACTCCAGCCTGGGCACCAAGAGTGAAACTCCATCTCAAAAATAATAAGAAAGAAAGAAAGGAGAGAGGTCAGAGTTACAGTCTATGTGTTTTCTCTTCTCCCTCAAATTTCTTGAGCCTCCCTTTGCCAATAAACCATCTATATTAGTCCATTTTCATACTGTATGAAGAAATACCTGAGACTGGGTAAATTATAGAGAGAGGTTTAATGGATTTACAGTTCCACATGGCTGGGGAGGAATCACAATCAGGGTGGAATGCAAAGGAGGGGCAAAGGCACATCTTAAATAGTAGTAGGCCTGTGCAGGGGAACTGCGCTTTATACAACCATCAGATCTCATGAGACTTATTCACTATCACAAGAACAGCAAGGATAAACCTGCCCCATGATTCAATTACCTCCCACTGGATTCCTCTCATGACACGTGGGGATTATGGGAGCTACAATTCAAGATGAGATTTGGGTGGGGACACAGCCAACCATATCACCATCCTCTATATCAACCAGGGAAGTGCTGAGCTTCTTCCATCTTAGCACATTTGAAACATCAGCTGTTTTGCAAAGTACATGTCCTTCCTATCCACTCTGTTTACCCCAACACAACCACAATATTCTTCCATATCCTGGAATCTAGAAAAATGTCAGGTGTTCCATTATCACCAGAATAATGGCACTATCAACTACTGATATGAAGTGCTATAATGTCAACATGCTCAGTTACAACTATATTACTCTGGGCTAAGACTGTGTATTCAATATTTATTGGATTGAATACTGTCCTTTACTCGAACTACTGAGAAAGGCTAACAGGTAGAAGTCCAGTAGCACACTGTCAATTCAAGAAATAACTGACCTTAGCAAGATAATCTCACCAATTTCTTATTAGAGCATGCATCCATACGTCTATTGAGACTGTGGAAGCAAAAGAAAGACTAGCAGACAAGTCTAATTAATCTTTTATCCACTGCATCTAGCACAGAGAGTAAATGTTGGTACATATTTATATTCAGTGATATAACAGGTAATCAGGCAAATATCATCACTATAGACACTTTAATATGGAATTGGATTCCAACAAAAGTTTTAATAAAATAAGGCACAATGTTTGATATGGCAAAATTTACACGGAGGATTAGTTAATATACGTATGTCCTGGGGGAGGGGGAAGAAGATGGTGGAATTGAAGTAGCCTAAATATTCTTTTTAAAGCACTTAGCATTACAAGGCAATATATAAATTTGATATTAATAAAATAAATGATAACTTATCCTAAAAATAAAAACTGTTGAATCACGTTGCTGAATTACTTTTACCAGTTTTAGCTATCTATAGATGTAGATATTCCTAATTCGCAAGATTTGAAATACAGGAAATTAAGAAATCACACCATAAAAAGTAATTTGACCAAAGTAAAAGTATGTTTTCAGTATCCTTCATTAATACTTTGAAGTACCAAACTTTATGAAAACTTACAATATTGGTTATTTAAAACTTTTCTCCCATTATGTTTTTGTTTCTTATGAATACAAAGTGCGCTCAGAAATGCAAAAAACCTCAACTGTAGGCACACAGTTCTTATATGATTGTTGTAAAGTGACTGTTTAGGTTAATACTCTTTCTTAATATCACAACAATGTTAACAATTTAAGTTAGTGAAAGGATTCTCTTAAACATAAGTTGTAGACATAATTAACCAATTTAGTCATGTTTTTGCAAGGCTGCAACGGTAACGTCAGTCTTATCACTGTATCTTCCAATAGCTGGAACTTAACAATAAAAGTCTTATCCAATTTAGTCACAGCCAAAGGAACAAAGTACATTCTGGTGAATGCAGATGTTCTTTCCACCATAGCTTCATTGTATGACAGTATATAAATAACCTTCATTAAACTAATATGCTTTAATATTTACTGGGTTGAATGCTGTCCTTTGCAAGAACTATTGAGAAAGACTAATGTTAGGTAAAAGTCTAGTAGCACCCAAATCAATATTACCCTGTGAGTGTTCGATAATATGCAAAGTTCATTAGTGAACAGTTTTTTTAAAAGTCAATTCTTAGTAAATACAGACCACAAAGAGATAGAAAAAGAATGGGAGATATTTACATACAAAAGTATTCAAACATGTCTCCCTTTCAACCTATATTACAAAGAAAACCAATGGCAAAATATGCAAAGCCTTACAATATCTTTATATGATGCTAGAAATATGAAGTTGGTTAGAAATTGCTGTCATTCTTTGGTGGCACCAGATAAATTTTTAAAATAATATATAAGAGAACATACTTTTTCAGTGATTTTATTTCAGGGTACCCTGATCGTTATGATTTTGACATCCTGGGGCAGAATGCATGATAGAGGTTCCCTCCCCAGAAGCTCTAGACTCATATACATTAGGCCATTTTATGACAAGAAATATTTCAGGATCAGTCTTTCTCCCTCAAGTTAAATGAAAAAGGTAACAAGGCTGTCCCAAACAACCTATTAAATTAATATAGCTCTCCAAACTTTGGGTCTAGAGGATTTAAGGCACATACTTCCTGACCACAAGTGAAATCACTGACACCTTTAAAAAGATCTGACTATGAAAATACAAAATTGCACGCAATTTTTTTTTTTGAGATGGAGTCTTGCTCTGTTGCCCAGGCTGGAGTGCAATGGCATGATCTTGGCTCACTGCAACCTCTACCACCCAGGTTCAAGCGATTCTCCTGCCTCAGCCTCCTGAGTAGCTGGGACTACAGGCACGAGCCACCAAGCACGGCTAATTTTTGTATTGTTAGTAGAGATGTGATTTTACCATGTTGGCCAGACTGATATTGAACTCCCGACCTCAGGTGATCTGCCTGCCTTGGCCTCCCAAAGTGCCAGGATTACAGGTGTGAACCACTGTGCCTGGCCCAAAATTGTACACTATTAAATTAATGTTATACAGGCCATAGTACTTAATATGGAAACAGGGACATTCAATACAGAAGGAATCAAAACTATGCATTATAGGTCACATTGAGTAAAAAATCTACACAATAGCTTTTACTATTGTTAAGTACCTGGCACAACTTAAAAGCTCACTCTTTCGGACTAAATGGGGAATAATATTTATAATGACATAATACAAGCTCTACTTTTGGATGAGAAAAGAATCATTTGGGTAAAAATTAAATGTTTCTAACTAAATGCAGCTTAACTAACCTTTATATATATACATAACTGACAGTTTTGTCTACGAAGCGTCTTACGAAAATTTAGGAATAACCACTAACTACTTTTTACATAAATAGCTACTGCTAAAATGCTTTAAAAGATCAAATTTTATTTGTACTATTTGCTTAGTGTTTTTTTCTTTTTTACATAGTGAAAAGGTAAACATTAACCAAGGGTACCTGTTGTACCACAAATTCCAGGTTAATGAGGTATGACTTTCTCCCTTTTGGAAGAGCAAAGTTGGCTGTAAGAAGATCTTATTACTTGATGGCCCTTAATTATGGAGGGATATGGACAATTTCCCAATACACTGAACAGATTTTGTGATAAGGGCTTTTGGATGGTAGTCAGTAGGCCACTTAATAATTTAATTTTAAAATAATTGACTATTACTTTAAAGGGCTTTCTTGGCCTAGGGCTTTCCCTAGGTGTTTGGTTATTTCTCTTCTAGCCCGGTGGTTTCTAAAGATTTGTTTAACACTCTAGCAATCAGCCTCTTCCTTCTCTTTTTTTGTTTAAATCTGATAGTTACAGAATCTGGTAGAACTGGTGTTCAGTATTATAACACATTATTGTGGACTAATTTTTACTTTTACATAAGCACAAAAGTTCCTCAAATTTGAGGTACAATTTACAATGCAAGTCTTTTTTTGTTTTTCTTTTTCAAGACAGAGTCTCACTCTCGCCCACGCTGGTGTACATTGGCAGTGATCTTGGATCACTGCAACCTCTGTCTCCCAGGTTCAAGTGATTCTCTTGTCTTAGACTCTGGAGTTAGCCGGTACTATAAGCACATGTCACCACACACAGCTAATTTTTTTAGTTTTTGTAAAGATGGGGTTTCACCGTGGTGGCCAGGCTAGTCTCTAATTCCTGACTGCATACGATCCACCCACTTCAGCCTCCCAAAGTGCTGGGATTATAGGCGTGTGCCACCGCACCCCAGCCAAGTCTTTACTTTTAAATGTGGTAACTTGAAGCTCTAAATATCAAGAATTTTTGAACAAGAAACAATTCATCACACATTCATTATTAAAATATGACCAGTCACCTTTGGATTTACCTCCACTACTCGAATACTAGAATATTGAGGACCCTGGCCAGCTGGTCCTTAATGTCAGCCAATCCCTAGCACCCTGGAATCAATATGTCATACACTAATCTTCCTATTTCCCAGAATCTTAGCACTCTCACAAGCTCAGTTTGGTGATGCTGAACGAATGGATTCAAGGAATAGACTACTAATAATGCACAATGTACTAATTTCAATTTCAAATACTAGCACTGAATGATGTCATTCTAATATACTAATGTTATGCTTAAGTAGTTTTATCCATAGTTTTGGTCACTAAAATTGTTCAAGTAGAACAATATCAAAAAACTATAAAAATTAGACTTCACTGACTGTCTTTTAAAACCCCCCAATTAAAGTTTATTTACTGTAATTAAACACAAATATATGACTTAGGAACTAAAGAGACAGACTGTTATTTTAAATACATAGTTAGCTACATGACTTGGTAGCTGACAACACGTAGTTAGCTATATGACTTGGGAGCTGATTATCTGGTTTCTAGATTATCAAGTCCCTTATATCTGACTTCAGATTAATTAATCTGGAAAAAAGAAAAGATAGGAAAAAGAAACAGGGAAAATCTTAGAAATCATTAGCTCCTCTTACAAAAGGTTAGGTCAAAGATTTTAAGAAAGATAAAACTGACAGCTATAACACAGACTTCACTAAAAATTACCAAAGACAGTTGCACACTGATCATAGATTTTTCAACTATACATAGAACCATAACATTTTGTTGAAATAATACTGTAGTATACATCTATATTCTTATATGTAAAGGCCAGAAACTGTGTCTGGTTGGACCTATTTACATCTGTAAAAGATGAAAGCAGTAGATCTTCTTTCTAGGAAGCTGGAAAGGGTATGTAAGGTTATATATTTACATACCTACCCATTTACTTTATGAAGACTAACTCTTAGAAGACTACTCAAGCAGTTACTTAGGTCAAGCTGGTAATTGATTAGGAAGTAAGCACACGCATTTAAGCCAGAAAAAGTTGATCCTATCAATTTGAGTACTTTACTATGAATACATTATTTTCTATGAAAATATCTTATGTATCTTAGCTAAGTCACTTATTTACAAAACATTTTATATTTGTCACTTAGGCACAGCCTAAGTCATCTTTACCTTTTATAACTGTAAAGTCTGCAGCTTGCTGTGGCTCCCTCCCATGGAGAAGTAAGCAAAGACTATATTTTATGATATAATCACCTATGTATCACTCTTCTAGGCAGTAGGAACATATAAGATTACTTCTATAGACACAGAAAATTTCTGAATCAAAAGGAATACAAAATCTTACTACATTATAACAAGGTCAAGGTAAAGGGATTTGTTCTATAGCAGCGTTTCACATTCTGCAGTTCATGAAACTCTCATGTTTCATGAATTAACATAAAAATAAACATAAAAACCCTGAATTATACTAGTTTCTAAAATACAAAACATATATGAAAAAACTCTTAATACATGTATATGTTACTATACAACAATTTGCTTTTAAGAAATGGTGTGCCATGAATGCCAGAAATCAGAAAAGGTTATCACCTGATGTTGTAATGCTTATCTGACCTGTATATTTAACATTTCTTACTGTATTTTTAACATTTACCAACAAATCATGTTATTATTAGTTATCTAATGATTACCAGTAACCATTTACATTTTATCAACTTGTAGTTGTACTATTATTCAATTTGTATTGCATATTAAACTAGTTAATAAAAATTTGGTAATTTCTAATAGTAATTAATTTGTGAAACTATTTCCCTGCTATACATTAAGGATACATTTAATATTTTTTTCTATTTTATTAATACTTTATTTTCTAAAATGCTTCCATGGTTAAAATAGTTCTGGAAACTGTTCTATTATGTATAAAGACAATGACTCCTTTCTCCATTTTTATTTGGCTTGTTGTGGTGTTTTTCTAGTTGTATTAGTTTTTCTTTAAAAAGCAGAGAAAGATGGTCCGATACATGCCATGGGCAAAAGTCATATTTTTCTCCACCCATTTAATGCAAGATATAAAGAAGCTGTCCCAGATTATATCTCTTACAGAATTTTCTGTCAAAAATTCTTACTCCGTCTTATGATAAACAGATTGTTTAAGATTGTGGCCTACCATTAAGTGTAGAAGTAATGTGCTTCTAAGGGATGACTAAACATTTAAACAAAAAATTTTAAGAGGGCCATGAGATCAGATATTAGATATACAGTTATTTAACTAGTTCTGTTCAAGAATATTTTAAGGTTTTCTGTATAGTATGCCAGGTTATAGGTTGCTCTGGCATTATTTCTTGAATACATTTTTATATTCATGCTGGATTAACGCACTGTAATAGTCATTGCTGGATTACATAAAGTTAACAGCAATCATATAGAACAAAGGAAAAGAATTAAGAAGTTTTAATAACCCACTTACATGTTATATGCCTTACTTTACCACTTAGTTTGTCAGAAAGGTGTAGGTCCTATGTAAACATCTGTAAGCTTCTCTGAATAGTTCTGTAATCTAGACATCCAGGCAATAAAAAAAGGGAGGGTTAATCCTGTTTATGGTATATAATATATATATGGTATATATAGTATATATGGTATATAGTGTTCTACCTAAACGCAAGGGCAACTCTGATAATTACAACTTAGATAATTTCTCACTTTCTCCATCTCAACTGCCACAAGTTATACTACTCATGGCTTATTGTAGAACTGCTCTTCAGAAGGTGCCATTCCACTTTGTGATTCATGCAAAACTTGAGTGAAAACTGCAAACCATCAGTCAAATGTGGAACTATCATTCACAATAAATTATATTAAAAGAATCTAAACATGGGACTAGACTCATTCCTGCTGAAAGGGTAGATGAAACACAAAATGTTTTATATCATCCCAGACTCTTTCATGAACACTTAAGATAAAGATAAGGTTTCTAGTGAGCTTCAAGCTCTATTTTCTTTTCTAACCATCTTTGCTTAGTTTTTAAGTATTTCACACTACAGTGCACTCTTGTTCAACCAAGAAGAACTTTCTGCATTCTGCGTGCAGCAACACTAGCTTCATCTTCTGAGTCAGATTCACTTTGGGATGTGGAGCTGTGAGAGGCAGAACTGCAAGGGGAAGAGCATTCTGGCGAACATAAGTAGTGCATCAGTGGGAGGCGATACTTCCCACAGAAGTCCACAAATTTAATTTGTCTGACACAGCAGTCAAAGTAGACTCCTAGAAAGAAGAAGGAATACAAAGTAATCATTACAAAGCAAGAAACCAATTTTTCAGCCCTTTCTCCAGTGTTCTGGAGAAATGTCATATGCCATCTTCTGTTATGAATCTTAAGCAGAAGTAGTACTTACTTGTATAGCTGTCTATAAGCCTACTGGAAGGTCTTAAAGGTAGAACTTGGCTGCAAAGAGGTAACCAGGAAATTTATCTTAAAGGGAGCAGGCACACAAGGGACACTGTGTACCTAGCTTCTTTCCTCTGGGAGACTTGGGGCAGTGGCTGATGGAGATTTTAGGATACCTGAGGTATCCTTTCTCTATTACCCAAGCCACCCCCTTGGTACTACGCTACAGTCAGGAGATTACAACAAAACAAAATAAAAATAAAAACTACTTTAGTGATTATCTTAAAGAATAAGTATACAAAAATTTGCAGAAAGGGGATGACTTTTGGTACCTCTGTTCTTATGTACTGGGAAGGCAAAATTTAAAGAAATAAAATGCCATTTTACATTTCCAAAGGCTGTATCTACAGGCCTCAAATCTGTTTCACTGATAATCTCACTTGATTCTCACACAATTATACATTGTCAGGTAAACTGAAAGTACTAACTGGCCCTTTTGATTCCTAGTTAGTGCTCCTCAACTATGGCCCTTCAGTTAAGTAAAAACAGAGCCAGAGCTAAGAGGAAAGCAGATGTTGCTATGCCTCTGGATTCTAGTTGATCCTTAAAATGATACTGCAAATCTCTAACACACAAAGACTGTCACAATGGTTGCAGTATAACTAGAACATCTAGAACTTTGGTCCCATTGCTTCTCTGGAGAGGAATCTCAACCTCTATACTCTGCCTAAGTTTCTTCTGGCACCAAATATTGTGTGTTTATCACAAAAGGGACCAAAATTAAAAGATGTGGTCCAAGCAAAGGAAAAGCAATAAATTCTACTTCTATTTTTTCCTGATACCTCAATTAACCATGTAGTTTTTGATGTTGTAGTAAGTATAAAAAAGGGGAAATTTGTGGCATATTACTTTGAACAATTTAGGAAAGCAGATACATTCAATAAGTTGGTCAATCACAGACCGATAATAAATCCTCCCAAATGTGTTAGTTTCTTGAAAACAGATGAAACAAATAAAATAAAGCAAAGCATTATGGGAGTTACTATGAGCTAAGGCAGTATAACACATCTTGTGATTTGTAAGATTTCAGATTATACAAAGAGAAAAATATCTCTGAGAATATAAAAGTAATTTTGTTTAAGTTACAGTTTAATGAATTTGAGTGGGAAAGTGTCTACTGGTTCATTTCATAGATTATCTCAAATTTTAAACTGATAATTTTTTTTTTTTTTTTTAAGAGACAGGGTTTCACTCTGTCATCCAGGCTGGAGAGCAGTGACATGATCACAACTCATGGGAACCTTGAACTCTTGGACCCAAGCCATCCTCTTACCTCAGCCTCCTGAGTAGGTGGGACTATAGGCACATGCCACTATGCCCAACTAATGTTTTTATTTTTTGTAGAGATGGGGTCTTGCTATGTTGCCTAGGCTGGTCTCAAACTCATGGGCTTAAGAGATCTTCCTACCTCAGACTCCCAAAGTGCTGGAATTACAGACAGGAGTGAGCCACCAAGATCAATCAGCCTTAAGCTGGTAACTTTTAAAGCATTTTTGTTCATAAGATAAGTGGCAGTATACTAAAGAAGTCATTAGGAAAATATTTAAGAGAGAAAAGAGAATTCATGTAGAGGTCCTGTTTCCAGAAAAACATGAATTCGAAGAAAAGATTTAGACTCTCAGGCCTGAGGGCCTGGTATGAATGCTGCCCTATGTGTTTTCCTCTTTCAACTGTGAAAGCTAATTCAGGAATAGAGAATCACAGAGAAAAGCGTAAGCACTTTGAACTTGGTACAGTGCTGCAATCTCTACTTCTAAGAGTGGGTGGCCAGAAATGACCCAGAGCATTATCTTTTTTAAACTCAAAGTGTCTTTTTTTTTTTTTTTTTTTGAGACGGAGTTTTGCTGTTGTTGCCCAGGCTGGAGTGCAATGGCCCGATCTCGGCTCACCGCAACCTCCGCCTCCT